TTTCTCTACAAATAGAATTCTTGGTCAAAATTTGTTTTAGACCTTCATCTGATAGAAAGAAACAGAAACTGCTACAGTTTCCATGCTGTTGTGATTTCCACAATCGCGATGAGTGAAGCTTACAGCCCTTGCCTATTTTCCACTGGACTTTTTCCTTTGTATTTGTCCAACTCTTCATTTAGAGCCAATCACCATTTGAATATAATGTAAATTTCAAATGTCATCTCAAAAAATTAGTAAAGTATTATGTTAATGATGTGTGCTATTACAATGGATATTTTTTCGCAAAGCATTAATAATAAAGAGTGTAATTCAGATTTATTTATTAAAAATGTTAAGGACAATAAAATAATACAGTTAATCATCTATGTTTTCACAGCTTTTCATCTCTAGCAAAAAATACCTGGGTTATAAATAGCAGTTTACACATACCCTTGGAAAAGCGTTAGCTATCGCAACTACTAATGGGAATCAATTTAGTTAACAGTGATAAATGCTACAACTCCATAGGTTTACAGCTATTTGTACAAACCTCCTAATAAATATCTGTACTCCAAAGTACTTACTTTGCAAAGGCTAAGCCCCACACATGACTTCCTCCTTCACAGGATTCCAATTATTCCGTTTCCTCGTATGCTACACTATTCTGCACACTTCCTCAAGCCCTAACTAAGTACCTCTAACTGTGGCCATGATGAACACAAGTGTGTGGGTACCCGGGAACCCAACACTTGGGAAGGCCAACTCAAGTGTGGTTGGGCTCCTAGGGCTGGGCTCGTAAATCTAGAGTCTGACCAATGTTGAGTACTCCTGTCGAGATGGAACCGTACCATAGCAGGTTGTGCTGCAAACAGTTGCAGAACTACGACTTGGCAAGCAAAACCTCACACATTTAGTGTCATCAGGGTTTTAGGTTATAAAGGTGCCAAAGGCAAACAGGCTGGTCCCAGATTCACGAGGGCAGCAGACTCCTCATGACAGACTCTGCAAGCAATCACCACACAAAGCACGCACCTGCAACGAACAGCGGGAGTCTAGAGGCACAAGTCCTTGCCTTAAGTGTGCCGGGATCCCACATGAGTGTAGGTTCTAATCCCAGCAGCCCTGTTTCCCATCCAGCTTCCTGCCCGGGAAAGCACAGAGGATGACCCAAAGCCTTGGGACCCTGCACCTCCATGGGAGACCCACAGGAGACTCTAGGCTCCTAGCTTCAGATCAGATCAGCTCTGGCTGTTGTGGTCACTTGAAGAGTGAATCAATGGACGGAAGATCTTCCTCTCTGTTTCTCTCCCCCTCTGTATATTTGACTTTTCAATAAAAATAAACTAAAATCTTACCAAAAAAAACTACAGTCTTTCTTCTAAGAAAGCACAACATTATGTCAAGGGCCTGGCTGTGCCAGTTACACATATGCTCTTGCTCAAGAATATCAGGCACAGCTGACATCACTGAAGGCTCATAACCCTACAAGGGAGGAATAAAATGTGTATGCGGCTTATAGGTGACAATAATTAGGCACAGAGAGCTTTACAGACTCACCCAAATCAACAGTTATATTACAAAACCAGGGATAAATTCAGAAGGTCTCACTCCGGAATATACAGGTCTAAGGTCTCTGTTACTTCCCCTTTTATTTGTTTTTAGAGAGTAAGGGAGAGAAAGGAAAGGTTGACTAGAATGATTCCAAAGGAACACTAGAGCCGTTATATTCCTATAAAAGTTCCTTTCTTGTTGTTAACTCCAAGTTTCAAAATGCACTGAACAAATATGCTTTGGTCATGGTCTATATGTTTTATGACTTCATATATTAATCTATGTCTGTTGAGACTTTAGTTTTCAAGTGATTTTTAGACAGATTTATTTTTAATACAAAGGCAGATATACAGAGAGGAGGAGAGACAGAGAGGAAGATCTTCCGTCCGATGATTCACTTCTCAAGCGGCTACAATGGCCAAAACTGCGCTGATCTGAAGCCAGGAGCCAGGAGCTTCTTCTGGGTTTCCCACGCGGGTGCAGGGTCCCAAGGCTTTGGCCCATGCTCGACTGCTTTCCCGGGCCACAAGCAGGGAGCTGGACGGGAAGCGGGGCCACCAGGATTAGAACTGACGCCCATATGGGATCCCAGCGTGTGCAAGGTGAGAACTTTAGCCGCTAGGCTACCATGCCAGGCCCTCCATAATTCTTTTTAAACAGCACTGCGTTAAATGCACACATAACTACTGGGATCTTACAAATCCTGCATGTAGTCTTGAGAGATCTTCATCAACTATTCAGAATCAATAGGAATTACTCTTTCTTTAAAGAACTTTTTTCTTCAGCAGTGTTAGGTAGCTGTGAGTTAAAAATTCTTTTAATTGTCACCTCTCTTAAATTTATTCCTAGGTATTTTATTTTTAAAATACTACCGTCAGTGGGACTGTTTTCTTAATTTCGAATTATCCATTATTGCTGGTGTGTGTGTCTCCTCCTGTGAGCCTTGTGAATTCCTCTTTCAGCTTATACCATGGTTCGGTCTGTTTAACAGCTCTGCCTTTCGACAGGCATTATGCAAAAAAAAAAATCAGCCTTGAAGTCACAGGAGATAACTTAAACACGCATCAAATTTCAAGACAAAGGGAAGTTTAAAAATGTACCCCTTGTATGGACATCCACCTCTCTACCCCAGCTTGGGTAAGATAAAAATGAGAGGTTGTCCAGCAGCAAACATCAACCACACTCGGCCTTACGTGCAGAACCAAAGCATGGAATGTGAGACACACACACCATTAGAGACTCAGGGATTAAAGCGTCTCCAAGCAGAGACCCCATAAAGCCAGAAAATGCCTGGGACACACTTCATTTGGACCAAATGGCCTGAGGAAAAGAGACCAGACATCTTTACTCACCCAGGTTTCATAGAGCGAAGTCATCCACGAATAAAAATACACATAGGCAGACAAGCGCCAGGTGGAAAACATGAAAATGAGAGCTAGGAAGCAGTTCTCTAAAACAGTTCTGAGCGCGAACCATGAGAGCACAGCCAAGATGACGGCAGGACAGCATCGCCGAGCTCACGGCACACGCTGCCTCGGGTGGCCTGGGCCCTCCACTCTCTACACACAGGGAGCAGGCTGAAGACTCCATCTCCAACCATCGGATTACCTGTAGCCAATCTCGACAGCCTGATCAGAGCACCAAGAACTCCAGAGTAGGGATTCAGTCCCAAAGCTCCTAGAAGAGCATCGAGGTAGACAGAGGGCAACCCCTTCTGCCGCGCACACTTCCATCTCATCTGTGACATGTCTGTGCCTCCCATTTTCACCTTGCCTGTGGCTGTGTGTGGTCCCTTCCCTCACCATCGCACGCCAGGAGAAAGATAAAAGCATCGAGTCACAAAACAGCAAAATTTTACAATCTACCAACTTGGATGCACAACCACCTCTCACCTCACCATTGGTAAGATACAAATGGGCAAGCTTCCAGCAGCAAAGATTAACCATATTCAGCCACACTACATCACCCGTGTCCTCCTTGCCAAACGAGATCCAAGACTGTGGAGTGTGAGGCTATGGCTGGATAAACATTGCCGATTTTCTCCCCTGGGGAAGGGCCGTGTGCATTTCTCCACAAAATGGAGACTTGAAGTGGCTGGAGCGCTGTTCTCCAACTATCCCTGGGTTCCTCCTGCTGTGGTCTGCAGGAGCAGCCCAGGCAGTGACTACTACGACTGGGTGTGACCTGGGGACACAAGCTGGGACTTGAAGTGTCATTTCTACAGTATGCCATCACTGGTATGAAATCCAGCAAGGCTCTGTGCCCCTCAGCAGTCACACAGGTAACACTTCCCAGAGCACTGATGGTCTCAGTGGCGTTCCCGGGTGAGGATGACAAGAGTTTGAGCCCCAAGTCAACCTTGAGTGTATTCAAAGAGGTCACAGTAAAATGAATTAAAAGAGAAGTCTATTTTGGTGCAAAAATAAATAAATCAGTAAATAAATTTGAAAACTCGTGCACAGTGTTTTCATAAGAGACATTTCCATAGATTTTTTTTGGAGACTCCCCCGTGTGCGTGGCATGAGTTAGACAGAAACCTCCAGGGCTTAAGTCAGAACACAACCCGGGCCACACAGGCCAACACAGCCTCATACTGACTCACTGTTCTGTGACTCTAAGTTCCTGTGTGATTTTTTGCATCCCATTCACAAAGGTATATTGTTCAAGCATCCTCCAGCTCGGAATCTGAGAAGCCTAAACAGAGTGTGTTATATCAGACTCATGAAATCACACATGCATTTCCTCTAACAAGACAAGATAGTAGAATGAAAAACTTCCATCACGTGGGGCAAGGTAGACCATTTCAAATCTCCCTTTAAAGTTTTCCTAATTTTTGCCCCCTAATTCAAAGTAAATTTCTTCCTGTTCAATAAACCACATCATATGAGCAACACTGATTTAACTTTCAGCTTCCAAGGTTTCTATCATTTAGAAGTATTAGAAGGAAAGTCTTCCATACATTACTTACGTAGAGTAGACAGGACCATAAATCCTTTTCAAATAAACTTCATATAAAATAGTGAAATAGTTTGCCATTTGAGAATTGTATCAACAAAAGAAACAAAATTCAAAAACCAATGCCTACATGGTAACTGAAACATAAATGCTTTAAAAACTCACAAGTTACTTAGACATCTTAGCACACGAGCAACACTCCCACGCCGCAAAGCATTCATACTTACCCCTTTACTGCTATTATCTCATGAACGTCATTAAAAGCCAGAAATTACCATACGGGTAATCACTAAGCTGAGGGCAACCCAGCTCCATGCATTTCAAGTATTCAGTTCTATTTTGAGTCTATCATAAAATTCGCAAACTTTGGGTTTACATAAGCACAGTTTTCCCCCTCCAAAATACACCAAGCAAAGTAAATGGCACGAAACTGAACAAACAGTTATAAAGCTCTCAGGGGAGGGAGCCAGAAGCAGAGCCTAGATGTGTAATGGATGCGGCCCTTGGATTACCTGGGCATTCAGCAGCTGCTCGCACCTCTGGGCTTGCTTCTCAATGGCAGAAATGTACTGTCTCTCGATAGCTTCCACTTGCTGCTTCACTGAAGACTGTAGGAGCGCCTGAAAGACAAGCAAACAGGGCACTTGGACAACAAGCGAAACACAACGACCGCGCCCCAAGACAGTGCCTGGACACAGGGGCCCATCTGACATGCAACTCTCTCCTTGCGCACGGTGAAGCACCTGGGGCTCCAGCACGACTCGCCACGCCCACCGGCAGCCTTTCCCACTGCCAGGGTGACAGGGTTGCGGGCTCCGGAGTTCACGCCACACACCTTTTCCTTGGAAAAGGCCAAGTCAGCGAAGATGAGAAAGCAAGCGAGTTGCTCTGTTAAATCTAAGCTCAGCTCAGTGGGGACCACACAGGACGAGGAAAACAGGAAAGCTGCTGCAAAAAGAAGAGAGAAAAAAGAGAGAGAGAGAAAGAGAAAAAAGCCAGACATACTTCACTGGCTGACAAAACTCCACATCCTCTCGGCACACTGTACAATCCCAGGGGCCAAGTATGATCTTCAAGACCACAAGTCAAGTCAAAGCAGATGGAAACTCGCAGCCACTTCAAACGCAAGGGCCAGTGCCCCCCGCCCCCCGGGAAGGCCACACCTCTCAGGTGAAAAGGTACAAGGCATAGTGTGCAAGCCAGGATCTCAAGGTCACAGTCACAGAAAGTGATCAAGCTGGGGAGACTGGACAAACTGGTGTGGGTAGCACAAATGCTGGAAGCTAAGCGAGGTTAAAGATGTTGGCACTAGTGCCACAGCTGCCAGCACAATGCTTGAAGATGTTCCACCCGCCAATGTGCTGGTCAGAAAGGCCGAGAATACCGTCAGCTTTTTCTTTCCCTTTTTTTAAGTTTCATTTATGTTATGCTAACATGGTACCGCTAGGAACTTAATGCCATTTACAAATATTAAATTATTCTAAGATATGCATCAACCACATACATAGCAACTCCTCCACAAATATTCTATTTTTAAAGTTCCATCTGGGTAATTAACTACTCGTCATCAAAATGGCAAGTTGAAGTGGACACGTATCTTATAGAAAACAGACTACTGGCACATTTACCAAGCAAGGAGAATGGAGCCAGATCTCTTAACCTCTATTTTGAAAATAGATTTACTGGCTTGGAAACAACATGCTTTAAGATGTTAAATCAATAGGCATGCATTTTTAAAAACTGACATGAAAATACTCTTATGAACCTCTGGATATGCCTCCTATTTCCATGTAATTAGGTTTCTTTTACAAATGTAAAGACTGTAATCACAAGCAGTGTGTCAACAAGAGGAGACTCCCACGCTCTGACCAGCACCACACTGGGGACCGAGAACCTGCTCTAGCATAGCCCTTGCTTTGGATAACATGCATTTTTGGAAGAATCCATAACATCAATACAGCACCCAATTATGATCCTTTTAAATTGTAACGTGATATAAATCTCTTTTCCTTTTGGAAAACAATATGATGTAGCTATTGCTTGGCGCACATCACAAAACTTAAAGAGTGCTAGTTATTGACAACTTCCTGGAAATAACCACAGCATCTTTTGAAAAGAGAAATATGCCATTCATTTTTTTTTTTGGACCCGGGATGACAGAACTGTTGGGCTTAATCAAAAGTACTGTTTTCAATTTCCTACTTGCCGTAGTTTCCAATCATCCCACAGTTTAAATACCCAATTGAGATTTCAGTAGAGTGGATCCTGTGAGGGAGTGGTTATTAGTGAGATGAAGTAAGATTTTTTAATAAGGAGCACAATTTGTATTCTCCCCTTTAGCTACTTATCTGTACGCCACACTCTCCCTTTCTTGCAAATGTGAAGAATAATGAGTAGAGAAACATGCAAAGCTGTGGAGAGGCAGCAGGAGGAAAAGCTCTAAGGAACTAACTGGACTATCACAAGGACAAGCCAGCTCAGCTCAGCCCCGCTCGCTGACATCCACACAGCGACCAAGGCCAAGGTAAGCAAGTGGGAAAGAAGCCTAGCCTCAAACAGCTTAGAGCCATGTTGAAGACAAACTGGTACAGGTGCATCTGAGAAGGAACAGTTACCCCACCCCTACCAGACACTCACCACTGTACCCACAGGGGTCCAAAGAAAGGAGACTGACCTCATGCTGGAGTTGAGAAAGGTGAACAGTGCGCGAGAGGAGAAAGTGCTTAGATTCCAGAAATGAGAAAAATCTTGGACTCCACACCATGCAGCTGCTTCCGCGACGTGCTCATTCCCCAGATGGCAGCAGCTGCCAGGGTGGGGTGAGGCCTCAGCTGGAACACAGGACGACAGTGCAGGACTCCCTCACGGGTGTCAGGGACTCAGCCACGTCAGTCGGCACTGGGGGCCCTTCAGGGTGCACAGCAGTGCCAACCCGCAATGGGGAGCTGGGCTGGGACACACGTCCCTACACTGAGAAGGAGTTTGGGTTTCCCAAGGAGGGCTAAGTGGCCCTCTCCTCTACTTTAACCTAGCTCTAATACACATAAACAACACTCCCATAGCCCACGTGTAGGTAGAAAAAGCAAGGCATCTACCAACAGGTTTATATTGAAAAGAAACTGTTCTGTTAGAGATGTGTAGTGTTATTCCCAGAGAACCTAACTCAAGAAATCAGGAGCTAAACTATCCTATTTGAGGAATAATTTTCAAGGAGTGGACAACATGACAGGCTCCCTCAGGATAATCAATAGATCTTACTCATCTTTAAACATCATACTTAGCTTCTGAGGTCTATACACACACCCAGCACAGCTGTGTTGGTGACATGAACAGTGCAAACATGACTTAAAAAGAGGCATTCCAGTAGGATGGCTAAACGATACATGATTTTAATTTCAATATTACAAGGTTTACACATGTATTGAAAAATCACATGGTATCCTAAGAAACAACGTAACCTAGTCAGGCAAGGGGCACATGCACAATATTAATACCAGAATTTATTGGTAGCAATACTTACTGCAAATTTCACTAAGTTTGAAATGATAATTACAGAATCCAGTTACAAAACATTCGTTAAACACATTTAAGGGCTACCAAAGTTCAGTCTACTGTTGATCTTTCAGACTACGCATGTCCACTCTTGGGGCCTGGCACCATGGCTAAATCCTTGTCATAGATCCTGGGCCAGGATCTCACATGGGCTCCCGTTTGCAACCTGGTTGCCCTACTTCCCTTCCAGCTCCCAGCTTGGGGCCTGGAAGAAGAGCAGACAGTGGACCAAAGCCTTGGGACCCTGCACCTGTGCTGGAGACGCAGAAGAAGCTTCCAGCTCCTAGCTTCAGACCAGTTCAGCTCTGGCTGTTGTGGCCGCTTGCGAAGTGAAACAACAGATGGAAGATCTTTTTCTTTCCTTCCTTCTGTAAAATCGGTCTTTCCAATTAAAAAGGAAATTTAAAAATATATATATCCACTCTTTCTCCATTAGAAATTGAAGTGTGAATAAAATTAGAAATATGAAAAATGACAGATCCGTGCAAGGAAAGGGATATACAAATTGTCTATTAAGCATAAAGAAAACAAAAGGAAGTAAAGTCATTATTGGGGGCTGATCTGCGGTACAGCCAGTTAAACTACCACTTGTTGCAACTATATCCCATGCAGGATTCCACGTCAAGTTCATTCTGAAGCACTTCTAACTGAGCTTCTGGCTCATGTGCTGACGAATGCAGCTCATGATGGCCCAGGCAGTCAGGACCCCGCATCTATGTGAGACCAGGAATGAACTTCTCGTTTCTCGTCTTCAATCTGGCCCAGCATGGTGTGGTGCTGTGGTCAATGGACAATGCACGTTGTAAGCTCATTCTCATATTCTGCCTTTGAAATAGATGAATGTTACCTTCCCCCCGCCCCAAATTCTATCACATCAATAAACATCAGATGGTTCTTTTATGGAATTAGATACATGCTGCAATTTAAATCACAGAAATACAGCCAGAGCTGACTATGGTAACAGAGATTAGCCCATTGTCCCCAAAAAAGCCATGGCTTTTCTTCTCCCTTGAAATAGCCCAATTGATTCAGATTTAATTCCAACTTCATAAAATCAAATGAGTCATCCCCTTTACAGAGCAGATGTGTCTCGAACCCAGCTGGTGTCCAAAACATTAATATGCTGGGAGTAATTATGTGACACTGAAAGAGCCCTAGATAGCAAATTGTAAGCCACAGTAATTTGAATATTTTCAAAATTTGCACCAAAAATGTTACCTGCCAATCCTTTAAATCACTCTTCACAAGGGGAGGAGAGTATGAGGACACACAGCAAGCTAGAGACAAAATATGCAACAAAATGATGCACCACCGGCACCTGAGGCCCCCGAGACAGGATGCCAACTCACACCCGAAAAAGTAGCGCCCGTCTTGGAAGACACCGGGGAAGCAGGAGTTGAATACATGAATAAATAAATTATAACAGGCCCACTCCTGGAGAATTCAATAAAACAATGCTTTATCACGAAAATACGTATTCTTATGTTGGCCATTTCCATATTTATTGTCTTGCTTTAGTTCATTAACTACAATGGCGTAAGGAAAATAACCACAGTGAAGTTTCACCTGAAAACAAGCACAATTTCATTTTTCTCGGGAGAGTCTAATGTTCTTTTGATTTATCGATTTTTACCTCATGTGGAAATTTCACTGTGGCATTTCTATGTGGATTACAATTATCACACACAGATACAATCAGCACTATAGAAAGACAAACGAGCAGACTGCAGCTGGGAAGGAATACTTCTATTTGCCAGTGCTAGCCTTCATCCGAGCAGGAAGGATCATCAAGCTTGGCAAGGGGAGGGTGTTTGCACTGAGCGCACCATGTCCAACACCGGAAGCCATGGCTCGTCACGGCTGTCCTTCTGTCTCCCGTCTGCTGCTGATGCCCAGCTTGGGAAAGAGCAGGCGATGGCTTAAGTACGTGAGTATCTGCCACCCTTACGGGAAACCCAGGCGGCATCTCTGCCCTCTGTCTTCCGCCTAGCCCATTCCCAGTTGGTGTGAGCATTTGGGGAGTCCACTAGTGTGTGAAAAATCTCTTGTTTCCTTTCAAATAAGCAAC